AAGCAATGTTGAATCCGACACTAGTTTTTGGAATGCTCCAAAACTATAACAAAATCTAGGATTTTTTTCTTGCAAGCCAAGACCTTTCCTGCAAGGAAAGCAAGATGACCACTAAGATAGTTTCCATTCAATAAAATACTTTGTCAATATTCGAGCAAGTTTTTCCATTCCATAAAATACTGTCCGCCAAATTTGAAGTTATGTTTGGATTTTAAATTTATGAAAGAAAAAAGAAAAGAAAAGAAAGTGAAGTGTGAAAAAAAAAATCAATTTCTATAAGCAAATCAAATAGTTTAAGCTCGACTTGTGTGTAGTTCGTTAAAAGCTTATTCGAAATCAGTTCATTAAGTAATCAAGGCAAACTTAAATATATTTTAAAACTCATTAACATTTTCAAACCAAGCTTGAATACTCAAATTCTCGTTTGGTTTGGTTCGATAAATCTAAAACTCTATAAAAATACCAAACTAGCTTTAAAATTTGCAAACCAAACTTAAACACTTAATTTCTCATTCAGATTGGTTTAATAAGCTTAAAATTATAAAAAATACCAAACCAGGTTTAAAATTTTCAAACAAAGTTTGAACGCTTAATTACTCGTTCGGCTTAGTTCGATAAGCCTAAAACTAAATAAAAATACCAAACTACTTAAACTTGGCTTAATAAAAGTTGGTTTAAAATCAACTCAAAAGTTTAACAAATTAAATTTAAACAAATTTTAAAATTTATTAAAATTATCAAATTAAATTTGAATAGTCAATTATTCCACTCATTTATCACCGTTACTTTTCTCTTCCCCAATATTCAAACAGAACTAAAAAAATTTAAAAAAGAATCATTGACCGGAGGTTCCATAGAGGGATTAGGATTATGCAATAATTTTTGTAGCAATATCTTATAATAATGATTTAAATATCATTTAAATCCCAAAACAAAACCCATTTGGTGGGAATAATTTTACAACCCCGGTTGGTAGCTCGAAAATTCGTGGGTCGAATGGGTCGAAAGATCAAAACGACGTCGTTTTGATCTTTGTATTTTTTTTTTTTTTCAGCAGAAGGAAGAAGAAGACGAGGGGAGAAAGAAGGAGGAGGAGGGGAGGGGAGGGGCCCAACAAACTCGGGGCTGAGGCAGGGGCGGAGGTGTGGCGGCGAGGCAGAGGCAGAGGTGGAGCTGCGGCGAGGACGGCGAGGCGACGAGGACGTCGGCAAAACCAGCACCCCGTCTCCCTCTCTTCTCCTTCTCCTCTCTTCTCTCCCTCTTTTCGAATTCGACCTAAATTTCGACCCACGAAATTTGAGCACCCACCCATTTTTCTTTGTAAGGGCCTCTCAAGTTATAGCCATTAAAGTATGCATTAGAGTATCTCCAACGGTGCATCAATTATTTCACTAAATTTGAGTAAAGATTTGAGCAAAAACTCCATCTGATATCCAGCTTTCCAATGGAGCATTTTTGGTTGTGATTAACACATCGGTCGACCGAGTGGACGGGAGGACGGAAGTCCGGCCGATCGACTAGAAAGAGTAATCTTTCCCCACTTTGAGTATGCTTTTCTGTGGGTTTTTTGGCACAAAGTGGATGACTAGGGGGACATTCGGCTAGTCATCCGGTTTTGCAAAATTAACGGCACCAAACAATGAAATGCTGAAAGCTGTAGACATCCTCTATTTGCTAAAATATTTTTGATATTCTCAATTTGATACTAGTTTGATGAAACTGTTGGAGCTGAAAAAGGACTCCTTTTTCATCAAATTCAAATTTGATGATGAATTTGATACACAGTTGAAGATGGTCTTATGTGTCACTTTTGGTCCTTCAAAATTTAATTTTATTAATTTTGTTCCTAAAATTTTCAATTTAAGTCAAATTGGTCCAATTTGAAACTCCCATTTAAATCATTAATGAAACCTCCACTATGGTCTCTAAAGTATATGTTTTGTGTCATTTTGTTCCGTAAAGTTTCACTTTTATCAATTCCCTCACTCAATATTGTAAATATATGTTTGATCGATGTTTCAGGACCAAATTGTCAAAATCAAAAACTTTAGGAACCATAATAATATGGAATGCATACTTCAGAGACCATGTGTCTATTTTATTATCATTGCATTAGCTATTTAGACGGTCCATTTCAAGTTGGACCATATTTATGCAATTTTGGGAGGGGGGCAGGGCCGGCCCTGAGTTCGTCGGGGCCTAAGGCGAATTTCGGAAATGGGGATCCTTTTATATTGAAAAAAATTCATGAATAAAACGATAAGTTATAATTTTTTTATTTGTTTGTAACCATAAAAAAATTTACTTACACATATAATCATTAAAATTATAAATAAAATAATTTAATAAAACAAAATTAGAACAAAAAAATTAGGAAAAAATTATTCAATTAAAATTGATAAAGACCTAGGTAAAAAAATTTGAGCAAAATTATTTATTCCACTAAAATCTAATAGATAAAGAAGGTAAAAATAAAAAATAAAAAAAATAGGGCCCATATATTGTATGTATTATTTTTCTTGAGCCCAAACACTTTTTTTTTAAATATATTTTCATTTTAATAAATATGGACCAAACTACACTTATAAATAAATATGGAGTAAATCATACATGGACCCAAAAAAATATTTTTGGAGCCCCTTTAAAATTGATCTTAAAACCAAAAAAACAAAAAAAAAAAACATTAAGCCTATAATATTTTACCAAATTTAGGGCCCTATTGTTATATATGTTTATATGTTTTACCAAATTTAGAGGCCCTATTGTTTTTATTTATTTATTATATATTTTCATTTAATAAATATGGCCAAACACATTTATAATAAATATGGGCTAAATTATACATGGGCCCAATAAAACATTTGGGCCTTTAAATTGATCTTAAAACCAAAAAAAAAAAAGTTGAACCTATAACAATTTTTTAAATTTGGAGACCTATTTTTAGGCGAAATATGGGTCCTAAGGCACAAGCCTTACCTGCCTTAGGGCAGGGCGGGCGGCGCGGGGTCCGCGGGATGGGGGGGGGGGGGGAGGGCGAACGAGGGCGAGACTGGGGAAATTGAAAAAACAAAATTGACATAATTAAAACTTAAATGATCAAAGTGACACAATATTTTATTATCATTACATTAGCTATTTAGACAATCCATTTCAAATTGGAACATATTGATGCAAATTGGGGGAATTAAGAACAAAATTGACACAAATAAAACTTAAATTATCAAAGTGACACAAAACGTATTTTTTAAAGACCATAAATGTATTTTATCCAAAGTTCAATTTGTCGTAAATAACAATTCACAACAAAGTGCATTTATTAGCCACATTTTCAAAAAATTTGTCACTAAATATCAATTTTTTACTTTTCGGGACGGCCTTTAAGTAACAGCTCACATGGCGTCTGGAACTGGTTTCTTAATATTTTTAAAACAAAATTTTCACTTCTCGAAATGAAAAAATTGGTCTCTAAAATCCCTATGTTGTATTTGATTCACTAAATTAAGATGGAATGAAATGGAATAGAATGATCATTAAATAATAATCACTCTCTTACACGTGTGAATAATGAATCTACAGTGAAACACCAATAAATCTCAAATATTGATCTTATGAACTGTTTAGTCCTCCATTTTGTTCTTATGGACCTAAGGTCTCGTTCTAGTGTGAATTATATAAAGGGCCAAATGCGCCAACTTGTGTTATGTATTAAGAGATAGGTTTTCTTATAAAATTACCAAACGTAACACTTCAAAGAAACTCATTAGTATACTTTTCCTAAACATAACACTCTAATGTAACACTTGAAAAACGTAACATTCCAATGTAACACATTAAAAAACTCCTTAGTAAACTTTCTCCAAACATAACACTCCAATCAATGTAACACTAAAAAACTCATTAATGTACTTTTTCTAAATATAACACATTAAAAAAACTCCTTAGTGAACTTTTCTTAAACGTAACGTAACATTCAAAAAAAACTACTTAGTGTATTTTTTTGAAATGTAACACTCCAATCAATGCAGCACACAAAAACTTCTTAGTCTATGTTTGGTTTGGGAATTTTTGGAGGAATTTAGAAATAGAAAGGGAAAAGATGTGTGAAACTAGGTGCAATGTGAATAAAATAATGTAAGTATATTTTATTCACATTTCACCTACCTTTTTCCTTTTTCTTTCTAAATTCCTTCACAAATCCTCCAACCAAATACAATGTTAGTGTAGTTTTTCCAAACGTAACAACGTACCATTTCAAAAAAACTCCTTAGTGTATTTTTTCTAGATGTAACACTCCAATCAATGTAACACACAAAAAACTTCATCGTGTACTTTTTCTAAATGTAGCATTCTAATGTAACACCATAAAACTACACTAATAGAAATATAGATTTCCACACTCAAAAAAAATCTTCCACAATCTCACCTTTCCATTTCCATCACAAAAACGAATAAGAAAATTAGAAAAATGAATCATAAAAGAGTATGCACTTAAACTCAAATGGCATCAAATCAAATAAATACAACTTTTTAAAACAAAAATGATTAATTGGTTCATAAAAAAACTCTTAAGATTAAATAATTCATCATTCCTCCATATGGATATTTATGAATAAATTTTCCATGATTATATTTGTAATATATTTTTATTATTTTTTTAATCAACCAAAACACCATTTTAGTCTTACTACAAATGTTCAAGATTTGCAACCAACTAATATTTGTAATATATTTTTATTATTTTTTTAATCAACCAAAACACCATTTTAGTCTTACTACAAATGTTCAAGATTTGCAACCAACTAAAAAGAAGAATCAAGATTGATGCTATGGCTATGTCTATTACTATCTAGTTTATTTAATCAAATCCTTGTAAATTTTAAAAATAAAAAAAATAAATCTTATTTAACTTCAAATAAAAAAATAAATATTATTTAACTTCCAAGTGATTTAATGGACATGGAAATTGTGATGTTATGTGATAGGATGGCCATTAAACAAGAAGAGTCTAGAAGTTTAGTACACACAAAACTCCATAGTGCAACTCATAAACTAATAATAATGAGGCTTTTATTCAACTCAGTAGGCTATAACTTAAAAATTTTGATGTCTCCAATGTACTCATAAACTAATAATAATGAGGCTTTTATTCAACTCAGTAGGCTATAACTTAAAAATTTTGATGTCTCCAATGTATTTTTTTACCATGAGATCTATATATAGCTGAAACTTGAAATATACCTCATATCAAGCACTACAACACATTGTCTAGATAGAGAAATTGGCTAGAGAGAGAGAGAATGAAGAACTTGAAATTGGGAGCATTTCTTCTTATATTGCTTAGACTTGTGACATATTGTGTAGAAGCTGAGGCTCAGGTTTGCGAACCTAGTGGCCACATCAGAGGTACACTTCCTCCTGCACTATGCAAGAAGAATGACTCTGACTGCTGTGCACAAGGCAAATTCTATCCAATATATAGATGTTCACCAACAGTTTCTAATCAAACTAAGGCGGTTCTTACTCTTAACCCCTTCCAAGGGGATGTAGATGGTGATGGTCTATGTGAATGTGACAATGAGTACCACTCTGGTGACACACCAATTGTGGCACTATCAACTGGATGGTATAACGGAGGGCGAAGGTGCCTCAACTACATCACTATAAATGCTAATGGACGGAGTGTGAAGGCTACGGTGGTTGATGAGTGCAACTCCTCCATGGGTTGCGATGCAGACCATGATTATGAGCCCCCATGTGCTAACAATGGGGGTGTTTGTTTCAGCTTTTCAGAGCCAACTTATGGCTTTTAGTTTTGAAAAAGTTATTTTAGACTGTTTCATTAAACTTATTTCAAACAGCTTCTGATTCTAATAGTTTATTTTAACTCAAAAAAACTGATTCTGAAAAGCTACTCACCCCTTGCTTCTGATTATCAACTTCTGCTGTGGACATATTAATTTATGGTTATACTCTTAAATTTTTTTATTTTTTATTTTTTTAAAAATAGAAAAAGACTCAAATTGACTATAAATTATTATTATTATTTTTTATAAGAAATTTAGACAAACAAAAAATAAAAATTAATTGAAAAAGCTATTTCACAGCTTATTTAACAAACACTACTCAGCAACTTAAATCTATAATCCAAAAGGTACACCAAACAGATTAACAACTTCTGATTAAAGTCATAATCTATAATCTGTTAAGCTATAATCTATGAACTGTTTTAACAGTTACACCAAACGGGGCCAATATAGTCAGTGCCTCAAAAGCTGTGTGGAAAGCCTTGGGCGTGTCTCATGATAATTGGGACAAGTTGAATATTACTTGGTCTGATGCTTAAGTCTTTCATGCTACTTCAAGTCAATTAAAAGTTCTCCATCACTTGATCATGTTGTTATGAGTGTTATGTTCTCAATTAATGATTTTATGAGAATCAAAAACTATATTGACTTTATATGTGATATATATGCTAAAATACCTTGTCTTCAACTCTTTGATCTTGCTTCCATGTTCTCAATTCATGGTTGTATGAATTCTAAAAGCAAATAAGTTTTATACCCGCAATATCCACTTAGATTATCTATTCGGTGAAAAAATTATTCAATGTCTTGTGAAAATTTATCGAAAATGGGTCTCACACCTCAAAGGTGTGCGTAGAATTGAACCAAATGTTTATTTTATAATCATTTTCTTAGCTATTTAGATGGTTTATTTGAAATTGAACCAAATTAACTTAAATTAAAAAATTTAAGAACGAAATTTACAAAATTGAAACTTAAATTATCAAAGTGACACGAAACGCTTTCTTTAATGACCATATTTTATCCCAAGTTCATATTTTCCATAGATAACAATTCCCAACAAAGTCCAAATTAGCCACATTTTCAAAATTTGATACTAGTTGTTTGAAAAGTGCTAAATTAGTATATTTTTTGATTTTTTACGAAATATAGATTGGATTTGAAATAATGTGGTACAGAGGTGATGTGACTTAAATAAAAAAATTATGAACTAAATAGGATAATGTGCTAAAATAACATGTGTTTATAACACATGCCAAACAACCACTAAATGTCTTTTTTTAACCTTTTGGAATGGCCTTTCGTGACAACTCACATGACTGTTAAAATTGGTTTCCTCATTTTTTTTGCAATAAAATTTTTAATTTTGAAGACAAGAATTTTGATTCCTAAAACTCATACACTCTACTTGATTCGCTAAAATGCAATGGAATAAAATGATTATTAAAGTGTTTGGTAATATTAACGTTTTTTGTTTATATTTACAAAAATTTTATAAACTGATTTTTGTTTATTTTAAAAAAAAATAAATTACAAACGTATTTGGTTTAAACAAAATGTTTGAAAAATTATAAAAAAATAAATTAAAGAATATGTTTATCCATGCCTAAAATATTTATATTTATTTTTTATTATTTATGACAATGGAATCATACACATTATAATTGAAAAAAAAAATTATTAAAAAAAAGTATTTGAAAAAAAATTATTTGAAAAAAAATTATTTAAAAAAAATAACTGAAAAAAAATATTTAAAAACATAAATTACAAACGTATTTGGTTTAAACAAAATGTTTGAAAAATTATAAAAAAATAAATTAAAGAATATGTTTATCCATGCCTAAAATATTTATATTTATTTTTTATTATTTATGACAATGTCTGTGTTCTGTGTCCGTGCTCGTTAAGTTAGAATTTTGATAGATTCAATCAAGAATTTCGATCAAATCATGATAATTTAATTTTTATTTGATAGATCAAACGATAATTAAAACCATTTCTATCAAAAGCAAGTGGAGGCTATTGTTCATAATTTGACTAATTTGACAGAGATTGAATTTTTATGTTGGAGTAGTTGGTAATGGAATTTCTGGGTTCAGAGAAACAAGAAATACTCTAGTAGATATAGCATGTATAAACCATTTAAGTTTATCTAGTTTTGGAATTGATAAAACCATGAATTGAGGAAACAAAGGAGGTAGGAGCAACAAGTTGAATAACATTTAAGAAGTACAAGTTTTTAGGGCTTCAATACACAATTATGAATTTAGAAATTAACAAACAGGGAATCAAGGATACACGAATTCTAATTGAACATTATATGAAAAACTTAAGCATCGGACCAATAATATCCAACTCGCCCCAGTTCTCATGAGGCACGTCCAAGGCTTCCCACACGGCTTTTGAGGCATCAACAATATTGTTACCACACGGGGGGGCTGATAGTCATGGCCTCCATCGCAACCCATGGCGGAGTCACACTCGTCAACCACCATAGCCTTTACGCTTCGCCCATTAGCACTTATGGTGATGTAGTTGTGCATCTGCTTCCTCTGTTGTACCATCCGGTTGACAGTGCCACAAACTGGTGTGTCATCGCGGTGGTTACTTGTTGTCACATTCTGATGGGCTACCACCATCTCCACCTTTTGGAAGCTGTTGAGTAAGAACAGCCTTAGTTTTGACCAGAAACTGCTGGCGAACATCTGAATATTGGGTAGAGTTTGCCTTGCACACAGCAAACAGAGTCATCCTCTGTGTGCATTGTCCAGAAGGTGGTTTTCTCCCCCTAACGCTGCCACTAGGTTTGCAAACTTGACCCTCAGTTTCTAGACATTGTTGCTTACTACAAGATGAGCAATATAAGAAGAGATGCTCCTAGTTTCAAGGTCTTCATTCTCTCTCTCTCTAGACAATGTGTTTTACTGCTTGATATGAATCATAAGATTGCAAGTTTCAGCGATATTTAAGATCTGTATTAAAAAAAAAAACAATCAAGAGTTCAAAATTTTGAAGTTACCTTACTGTCTATACAGGCCAAGATAACAGTTCTAGCCTCTTTAGTTACTAGTTAACTAAAAAACCTGAATATTAATTTATTAGGTGCCACTATAGAATTTATTGTTATACAAAATATAGTTCCATACGTTGAAGGATTGAAAATTGTATTATCTGGTTATGAATAATGACTGTACTGTAATATGTGAAATCTTTTAGACTTCTGTGTTTAATGGTCACATCTCTATTGCCGTTGCATTAAATCACTTGCATGGTTGAATAAGTTTTTATTTATTTATTAGTATTGTACAAGATGAGATGAAACAAAGTAGACCACAGACATACACCGGTTTAAAGCTGCAGTCTCAATTGGGTGAAAACTATTTTTGTGCTGCAAAATAAATGAAGATGGGTGCATCGGTTTTAGTTGTTTTTTGGTTTATGTAATAAAACGATCCTTGTCTGTTATTGTAGGTTTTAGTTTTGGCTGAGCGTAATAGCTACGTTATTTGTTAAAGAACACATGCAATTTTGGCTCAATTTTTTTTTTCTTTTGTAGATAAATGACAATTTTAGGTTCTAAAAATATGCATTCTTTGTCTTAGTCCTTCTCAAGTTTCAATTTTGTCATTTTGATCATTCAATTTTGTCAATTTGAGTCAATTTAGGCCTCGTTTGAGAACAGGCTAATTAAGTAACTTTTTTGGCTATTTGGCTAAAATATGAGTTAAAAAAAACTAGTATGTTTGGATGACTTTTTGGCTTTTTACGAAAAGATGTGCAAAAAGTAGAGAGAAAAAGAATCTTTGACTTTTTTGGTATGGGTTGTTGGCTTTTTTGGCTAATTTTAGTAACTTTTTGACTTTTGACTAAAATGGAGGGTTCCCAAAGTCCTACTTCTAATGTCCGTTTACATTGATAGCTGAAAAAAATGTTTTATTCTTAAAATAAAATGATAATTTTGGTTCATAAAGTATGCATTTCTTATCATTTTAGTCCCTTAAGTTTTAAATTGTCACTTTGGTCAACAAAAGTGTCGATTTGAGCTAGGACTAAATTGACTTAAATTGTCAACTGAGGACCAAAATGACAATTTAAAACTGGAGAGAACTAAAATGACAAGAAACACATCCTTTAATGAACAAAACTGTCTTTTAACCATCTTCCTGTACCAATGTAAATTGACATTAGATTTTAGAGTAAATTAACTCAAATTGACAAACTTTGAGGGCCAAAATGACAAAATTGAAAACTTAAGGGACTAAAATGAAAAACAATGCATACTTTAGGGATTAAAACTAATTTTTTATCTTTTTTTTTGATAACCGGTGTGTTCGGTCAGTTTATGCGCACCTCAACTAATCCCGGGACCCTGATGTTAATGACCGGTCAAATCTTCTATGTCCTAAGGCTTTTAGAATGTTTGGCCTTTATGAGATTCGAACTTTTTCAACTTCTTGCGTAAGAAGTCCTGTGGTTACATTCTCTTATCTTGAACCCTAAGCCTCTACTCGGTTTGACGAAATGTTTTTTTTTTTTTTTGGGTGTCAAAAAGCTCGATTATCCTCTATAATGCCAGAAAAAAGTTAGGATTCGTTTTGAGCTAATAAGCTAGTTTTTTAACTAGTCTCAACATGTCTTGAAGATCCATGTGTTGGGTGTTGTGAATCCCTGATAATTCCATGTGTTCGGTTTTTTAACCAACTCTCAACAAGTCTTGTCCTGCTTTTTTCAAATGTCTTAGTTATTTTCTGTTGCATCACTCGGTGTCATAATTTATTTAGGGTGCTCTTGTATTGTGGAAGGAAACAGAGTTATATACATTTTTTTGATCATAGTTTAAATTATAGTGGCTGTGGATGTAATCCTATTATGGGGTGGACAACGTAAATTTTGTATATGTGTTTTGTGATTGATTGATTTGTTTTCTTATTTCTTATTTTATGTCTCGCCAAATCTGATTAGGAATTGCGGATTTCCTAACACCATGTTAATGATTATTTGTATAAATCCAGAATAATTGGAGTATAATGAAAGGGACTCCGTTTTCTCAGGTTCAGTTAGTGTTGCAATCGAATCGAGCCGAATTTTAGTATGTTTGGACTTGTTTTATTAAGATTTTAACGAGTTCGAGCTCGAGCTTGAAATCAATAAAAATTTAACGAATTGTGTTCGAGCCGAGTTGGTTTAGCTTAGCTTGACTCGAGTTCGAGCTTGTTCATGGGTCTCAACGAGGCAAAAAATTTAAAATTATACTTGCATATTTAAAATCAAAACCTTGATTATACAATTATATATACTATATATATTACATTATTTAAAAGAAGTCTATTTTATCAGAAAAATAATATCTACCACCACTATTATATTAAATGTACTATCCATAGTAAACTATATAAGGAGTATAAGTAACATATTTATCTTATTTTTTATACATCTTTTTACATTATTTAATATATAAATAATAAATGTTAAACGAGCCGAGTTTACTAGCCGAAATTTAGTATGTTTGGGTTTATTTATTAAAAATTTAATGAGCTCGAATTTGAACGTTAAAAAATTTAACAAATCGAGCTCGAATGAGTTCTTACCAAGTTTAGTTTGAATCTATTAACGAACGGTTTTTGTTAATTTGCAGCCGTGGGTTTAGTCTAGTTAAATGGCTGAGGTCCAAAGAGTCCTACAACAGTGGGGCTCAATGTGGAACCTTTTGGTCGTCATTGTTGGAAATTTGAAAAATTCAATCTGTGAAAATTTATTTTGAGGACCTGATTTTTTGTTATTTATTTTTAGTTTATTTTGAATTTCGATTTAAATAAAAAGTGTTCTTTTTATCTTATTTAATGTTGATAGTGCCACAATTGGTGTGTCATCCTAGTGGTACTTGCCACATTCACATGGGCCATCACCATCTATAGCGCCCTTGGAAGCTATTAAGAGTAAGAACTGCCTTAGTTTGATTGGAACTTGTTGGTGAACATCTATATATTGGATAGGAATTTGCCTTGTGCATAGCAGTCAGGATCATTCTTCTTGCATAGTGCAGGAGGGAGTCTTCCTCTGATATTGCTACTAGGTTTGCAAACCAAAGCCTCAGCCTCCAGACAATATGTTATAGAGAAGTGTGATCAATATAAAAAGAAAATGCTCTTAATTTTAAGTTTTCATTTTCTCTCTCTAGCCAATCTCTTTATCTAGACAATGGATTATAGTGCTTGATATGAAGCATATCTCAAGTTTTAGCTATATATAGATCTCATGGTGGAAAAAATACATTGAAGACTTCAAATTTTTTAAGTTTTTATTTTTACAAGTCACGATAGCCGCCATAGTCTATTGAGTTAAATAATAACTAAAAGCACCATTATTAATTATGAGGTTATGAATTGTACTATTCTAGACTTCTTGTTTAATGTTATCCTATCACATCACATCACATCACAATTTTCATAACCGTTAACACTTGACAATTAATAAAGGTGGTTTTTTGTTTTTACTTTTTTTTTTACAATGATATTTGACTAAATAAACTAAATAAATAATACACATATATTGCCAAAGCTACAATCTCGTTTCTTTTATTTTAGGTGGCTGCAAATCTGGAACGTTTGTAGTAAGAGTTAGAAATGGTGTTTTATTTGGTTAACTAAAAAATAACAGAAAAATTAAAAATATTTTGTAAATGAAATCCTCATTCATGTGTGTAAGGAACTGATCATTACTTAGGGTGTGTTGGTAACTATTTTGTTTTTAATTTTCAACTTTATTTACGAAAATTTAAAAATTGTCATAAAAACTTATTTGATAATTCTTTAATTTATAAATAGTTGTCTCAGTTTATAAATTTGAGAAAAAAACTTATACTCAAAATTAGTTTATGTTGATTTTTAAATACAAATTTAAAAATTTGACTAACAAAATTTTTTTTTCAATTAATTTTTTAAAATTATTTTTTTCAGGTATTTTTTTTTAAATAATTTTTTTTTAATTATTTTTTTTTTCAATTATAATGTGTATGATTCCATTGTTATAAATAATAAAAAATAATTGTAAATATTTAGGCATGAATAAACATATTCTTTAATTTATGTTTTTAAATTTTTCAAATATTTTGTTTAAATCAAATACGTTTGTAATTTATGTTTTTTATATATATTTTTCAGTTATTTTTTAAATAAATTTTTTTCAATTAATTTTTTTTTGAAATAATTGTTTTCCAATTATTTTTTTCAATTAATTTTTTTCCAATTAATTTTTTTAATTAATTTTTCAATTATAATGTGTATATGATTCC